AGTGAAGTCTAAAAGCTAAAAAAAAAAAACGATTCTTCTTTCTGTGACATATCGCGATCGCGGGCCATAACGATATGAACCGGGGGCCGGATGCGGCCCGCGGGCCGTATCTTTGACATGACTGTTCTAAGACAAACTTAGCACATTATCTATATCAGTTATTAGGGAGAGGAGATAGATTTATAAAATACTTCTTACATTTACATTTAGATTTCAATGCAAAATTCAACTATACCAGATAAATATGCAAAGAATGAACGCAAAAGAAGGAACAAAATGCAAAACTTACATCTATCTCTTTCATTTCAGAGAACATTACTCGATTTTTCACAGGCTTCATATTTTCTTTGAGAATTTTTCTCCTTTCTACTAGGGGCCTTTAAAACATGACAATATACATTAGCAAATATAAAAACAACCAGAAATATATATTTTAGGTTTTGTTCTAAAGAAAGAATAAGAACATACGTTTGCATTAAATTTTGATCGTTAAACTGCAAGCAATCGAAAACAAAAAGACAAACACAAGCATCCTTAAACTCAGCTTTCTATAAATAAATAAGAAAAATAAATATTACTTGTCAGCACACCAATATAGATTCAATGCTTAAAATCATCATAAAAATAATACTTTTTAAAATACAAAAAGATTAAGAGCAGTTTTCAATATAAAAAAAATTTATTCCATTAGTTTGTTAAATTTGTTAAAGAAAAAGAAACAGTTTTCTAACTTATTTTAACTTACAATAGCATTGATTAATGTTATTTAAATTAAAAAATAAATTTCTAAGCACACAAAAGTTTTAAAATATTTTCTTCACCAAAATGGTTATTAATTTTATCAAAATGCTGCATATAATGTTAAAAGATACATTTTTAAAACATTTTAATAGTTTTAAAGATGATTTTTTGATGTTGTTAAGAAATGAAAATAAAATGGTTTCAAGTTGTTTGGTAATCACAGACCAAACTCCAGATTTAAGATTAATTTTAAATACTCACATTTTTCAGACTATGTTTTGAACTTCTTTGCTCGTATCAGGTTTTCTAAAGAATGTATCAAGCTTGTTTTTAAAAACTAATTAAAATATTTAAAAACTTGTTGACTCTATTATACAATTACAGCAAACTTAATTCATAAGCCTTAAAATATGAGTAAAACTTCCAGCAATAGAATATCTTTGCTTCATCAATATTCAATGCGCACAAAGCAACGAAATATCCTGAATAATTTTCGATCTAAAGATAAGATTTTCACATACTAGGGCTCACTCTTTATGGTTAGAGGAGGTGACCTGAAACATGCTACTTAGTGCAGGCAATATTTTAAGTTACGAAATCAGACATAAAAACATATTTTCTCTAAATATTTATACAAATATGATTCCTGATCCCCAAAACACAAGAAGTAACGGAAATCTGGTTAATATAGTCTTAATAGTAAGGTCAAGAGAGTCGTTGAAAGTTTGGACTCATAATGTTAATTTTATGTCTGTATTTCGTTATATCCAAAGAACAGAAAGTGATTTAAAACATTTTTGCACACAATTATGAAATTTGTCAGACAAAAGATATAATTCTAGGCAAAATACAGGTTTTAATAGTTATTTATTATTTTATTTAATGAAACTCGAAAATATTTGAATTGTTTATGCAAATTTTTACATCATTTTAAAGAATGTAATTGTAAAAGATAAAATGCAAAATTTTGGCCAAATAGTTTCAAAAAATTCGAATTTTAAAAAAAGTCATATTTTTTTTGGCTGTACAGTAAATATGAACTGTATCAAACACTATACATTAGAAATAAGGTAAGTGAGAAAATTATAGATTTGACATAAGTTAAAAGCTTTAAAAAAAAAAGATTTTCAATAATAATTAAATGCAAAAAAAATTTAAAAAAAAGGATTGGTATAAACTTTTAAGAATTAGAAATAAGACAAAACAAGAAAAAGTGCACTAAAAATAAATACAGCAGATTAAAAGTTTTTACACATAGTAATTACATAAATAGTCATTATTCCTTTTAAACATTTCCAGTAGTAAAACTAAAATCAATTATTAATTATTGAATTGATTGAAAAAATTTCATTTACTCTATGAGCTCCAAGAGTTCCAAATGGTAAAGGTTTGCTATCATTGTCCACCAGCAAAATTTCACAATCCAGCATTAAATTATTGCCATGAGGGAAAGCTTTTGGTATGTAATCTTTTAAATGAGCAGTCTGTAATGATTTCAAAAATAAAGTTTCATGCATAAAATAAATAAAGTATCTTACTATGAATACATAACTTGTATGGTAGATGCAAGATGGTAGAAATTAATGTAGAAATAAAATTCCAAAAAACATATAATATAGTAAAAATAAAATATATTAGTAAAATGTGTAAAATTTAAAAGATTTTATTTTTTAAAATATGTTTCAAAAAAATATCAATGCGCAAAAATTTTTTTATTTAAACATAAAACATAAATATAAATAAAAACATTAATATCTATATACTAAATGCATTAGAAGTTTAGTAAAATTCTTAAAACTGAAAAAAAAAGACTATTAATTATAACTTATATAATTTAAATCTCCAATAATTGCAAAAAACTCTGTTAATTTCCATTCCATTAACAAGCAAATGTAAGTAGGTGCCATGTATCACTAAAATTCTAAAATCTATTCACTTAATAAACATTTATTAATAATAATTCAAGAGTTTTATGAGGGAAGGTTGCTAAGTCACATTTAAAACAAAAAAAGTTTTTAAAAAAATATTTAGTTTAATTCAATTACACAATATTGATTAGTCACTAAATGTTAGAAATCTCAATGGAAGATGCTAGTATATTTCAGGGCTAAGAACTTTAGATTCAGCAGCAAATTAAAACACCAGGATAGGAACAACTTAAATGAGATTTTAGTTATTTTTAGATTTCCCCATTTTTAAGTTTGGGAGCAAAAAATTAAAGTAAAGAATAATATTTATTTCCTCCATCCATGGATTAATTTTAAATATTATCTATTTACTATAATGTCACTTAGAACACTCGTTCCTCACTAAGCTATTCAATTATAGTTTTAATCCCACAGAAATTAGACTTCTTTTAAATTTTATAATTTAATTAAAAATATATATATACTTCAAAATATGTTGAATTTTTTTTACTAACATGTTATGTAAATATACATGTAAAAGTAGTATATAAATTATTATGAGCTATAGGTAAACATTGCCAGAATATGTTTTGCAATCAGGAAACAAAATTATTTTAAAAATTGCCTAAAATAAATTTGCAAATTATCGACCTGATAATTATAATAGTCATATATGTTTTGGTGCATTTATGTGATGTGACAATATATAACATTTAATAAGTAAGGATTAACTGCTATATTTTTATATAGTAAACGTTCAAAGCTTGAATAAGCTAAAGAATGCTTATAAATATATAATATTTTTTTAATATTAGCAGAAAAAATAATAAATTAATAATAGGTAGATCAGTTGGAAATGAACTTTAAAAAAACATTTATTATAAATAATACTGTCGGGTATAACCATATACAACTGGCAACAGCTGTGAGATTTCAGACAACAGAATATTTAAAATTTCGTAAACAGTGATTGGTATAAATAAACATGTACCTATATATTTTAATGGAAGAAATAAACACAACAAAAAATCCACTTTACAACCTCTTTAAAATAAAGAGCAAAGAGCAAAAATTGAAAAATTTTTAATACCATAAAAAAAGCCATGGAATTTCTGTTTTGGCAACGTTTTTATTAATAAAAAAAGCATTTATTATAAGGTAAAAATATATTATCTCATAAAAATTGCATATCTGTTTTATATAATCAACAAACATTGTTAAATTTTGTTTGAAATATCACATTTTTCTTGCAAAAAGTAAAGCATTCCCTTATTGTGGGCTATAAAGATTAAAGTTACATTTTTCTTGTAAAACGGCAAAATTTATAAAAGAGTTAATTTTTTTCTAATTTACCTTCTTTTTGCAGAAAAAATATAATTAAAATTAGGAAAATTGACAAAAAAATCTTTGAATAGCATATTAAATAAAATATAAAATAAAAATTCCTGTTATAATGATGTTTATAGAGAACAATAACTTTGTATAATAATGTTGACACTATAAAAAAAAAAGCACGGAATCTAACAATTGATAGTCGGTGAAAGAAGAATTGTTCACATGAATGACTTGATATTCAATTCACAAGAACATAAAACTCACATATAAAAACAGAAGATAAGATTTCACAATTTCATTACATGTGCTGAAATATAATGTAAGTAGAAGACAATTTTTTTAAAAAAGGAAAAAATAATTAGTTCAATTGAAATATTTTGATAGGTTATAATAAATTTCTTTAACAAACTTTGCTTATGAAACAGAAAAAATTTCAATACTTTAAAACTATTAAAAATAGATATAGTATTATAAAAAACTTTCTTACGCAATAAGTTTTTGTTAAAAAATATTTAAAGTATTTTTTTGAAAAAATACAATTCAACCAAAAAAAAAATTTTTTTTTAGAAGAAGAGCAGTTCTAGCATTTAAAAAAGATTAATACAAAATATTTTTTAATACACAAAGACTCCTGCTCCTGTAAATATACCAAAAAGTAATCTGATCTTTTAGTTCATTTTTTAAAAAAATTTCCCAAACCAATTTGTAATTGGCACCTTCTTAAATAGTCAGTCAGTTTTCTTTCTTTTTTCTTTAGCAGATAAAAGCGGTAGCACAAATGTCCCCCATTATTAATACTGTAAGAAAACACAAAAAATTAAATTCGAAAAGGATAAAACTTCTTTGAAAAAAACGCGCTAAGAAGCAGCAGAAATTTCAGAAAAAAGTATCAATACAAGAAACGAATGAAATAAAAATTTAAATATGACCACCGAAGCCGACGTCTTC